AGAAGCAGCCTGTGGCCCACACCAGATGCAGCTGTCTGAATCATGAGCCAAATAAATCTCTTTTCTTTATAAATTCCCCAGTTTCAGGTATTCTGTTATAGCAACACAAAAACAGACTAATACACCCATCAACATAAAAGTTGTCATTTGGAAAAGAATACATAATTCTTACTTGAAAGGCAAAATTTTGTGCATCTGTTTATAATTAGTTATTCCTACCATCCCATTAAGCATTTCCTTCCAGGATTCTTACACTTAGTTCCTTAATTATTGATGTATCCTGGAAAAATGATCCTTTCTAAAGGGAGTGTGTGTGTATTTGTGTGTGTACGTGTGTGTGTGTGTGTGCATGTGTTCATAGTCTCGTAAGAGCCAGTGGAAGGTAGGAGAATGGGAGGGAGAGGAAGCAATCAGAGTCAAGGAACCAAACAATGGGTAGGGATCAGTCTGCAATCTACGTACACAAAGGAGTAAGGCAGAGAGCAGGAAAAGGAACCTAACAGCAGGGGTGGAGCCACAGCAATTCCTCTTTCCCATGGGCATCAAAGTAAGCTTGGCCAGGTCATCCTTAAACCTAATCAGAGGAAAGACTGATATCGGTACGCTTGCAGGCTCCAAATGTTGACCCCAAAATATCTCCACCACTGGAGGGTTAGCTCGATACATTCACAATACCAGCTGTAGCCCACACATCTCAACTCTTCTGTGTTGCCTCCTTCTTTCTCCTTTTCCATCCTTTACCCACCTTCATGTCTCTCCTCCCCTGTACCCGCCTCTGCTCCTTGCACTCACGGAAGACCATGCTTCTCCATCTCACACAAACCTCCTGACTTCCAGCCTCCCCACTGCCCCACATCCCGTGATCTCCCCGATTTTCCGCACACCACACCCTAGAATTGTCCTTGTTTCTGCTTTGGCTCAAATCTCACATCTGGTCTTGTTGAACAGTTCTCCAAATTAAAAGGGACTGCATCTACTTCATTATATCTCTGCCAAGTCGTCATTTCTGTCCTGGACTACCGTGAGAACAAATGCCCAACCAGGTACCACTGTTTCTATTTTTGTCTTGTATAATCCATTCTCTCACCCTACAGGCAGAGAAATTTTTTTTAAACACGTCATTCCTCTGCTTATAAACTTCCTTACCCTTCAATTAAAACCACCCTCTGCTCAGGCTCCAAGCCCAGCACCGTGGGGCTTCCTCCGTATTTGCAGCTCCACTCCCTCCTTACACACTCGGCTCTGGATTCCTGTTCCCGAGCTTCCCATCTCAGGACGTTCACGTCAGCTCTTCCTCCTGCCTGCAGTGCTCTGTGCCCAGGTCCTAGCTGACTCCGTATCCTGCATATCTCAGATATCTTCATAACATCACCTCCACAGAAAGACCTTTGCTAACCTAATCCACAGTGGCCGATACTTTCTATCTTTCAGAGCAGAAATTCTGAATTTTCCCTTTCAGTATCATTAACAATCAGCCCAGCGCATAGGACATAAAAGTTTAGACCAGGGCTACTCAGAGTACGCTCTGTTCATTGACACTGTTCCATTCAGCAGTGCTGGTTTGCAAACTATTTGTTACTAGTCAGCAATGAGACAATAGAGAAATCTCCCCTCAATTAGGTTAGTTAACAAACGAAGAAGCAAGCTCATTTGTCACATTAAAAATTTTAAATACTGATATACATGATGTTGGTTCAAAGTGGGTGTATTGGCATTTAACACAGGCAATCAATATTTCACTTATGTCTTTTGGTTGAATCTCAATTCCAAACAGCCAAAAAATTATGAATATAATAATGATATTCAATATGGATCACCTGTACACACATATTCAATGAACAATATTATGCACTTTTGCAATACTTTCCTTTTTTCCTGCACAATGTTTGTTCTGATTTTAGAAATGCAATTTTATTTACTTATTTTTTTAATTTTTGTCCTTTTTGAGACCGGCCGCACCGTGCTCAGCCAGTGAGTGCACCGGTCATCCCTATATAGGATCCGAACCCGGAGCAGGAGCGCTGCTGCACTCCCAGCGCCGCACTCTCCCAAGTGCGCCACGGGCTCGGCCCTAGAAATGCAATTTTATGTCTGATGAATCTAATAACTAAAAAATCTAACCTTGCATCTTCTACGTCCTCTCTTGAATTACATCTTTCTTTGAAGTCACTCTGACGGTATTTTACAAATGGCTATGTCCATGATAGTTGGGGCCGGGGAGTGGGGGGAACTGGTTTTAAACCGTAGATCATTGAGAAGTGCTTGAGGAGACAAAAGTGGCTGATACATTCATCTTCCGATGCCCTACTTCCTAGTCACATTAGACCGACATAGTTCTATTTTTGCATTTGATACTCATGTTTTATGGCTTCATCTGAGTGGACGGAGAGGAGGCCAGCAGCATTGACTAAGACTTGGTGGAACCTGCCCTGGATGGTAAGAACAGGGCAGAGAGTCTAGGAGGAGCAGGTGAATCGCTCACCCCTGCCCGGCCTTTCCCTTCAAGCATTCTGCCCTGGGATGCTCATGGGACATTAAAGTACTTGGACAAAGTTGATTCGACGTCACAGTTTTGCCTCAGGCAAGGTGTGAGAGTAACCAATTAAATGAGTTGTTACTAAGATCCCGGAGGTGCTGAAGTTAAAAGAGACCAGGAAATTTGTTTCTCTACACCCAGAAGTTTCTATGGTGTCCCCTGGGTTTAAGCAGGGGACTCAAACCAACCCGGAATATTTGAACAAATACTAGTACATATAACTACACTGAATCTATTACTAACTCATAACACGGTAAATGATGTCTTTAAGTGAAGTCAATATAGCTTACTAGTGAAGAGCATGGTCTGTGCAGTCAGATTCCTGGGCTCAACTTCAGCCTCAGTCATTTACAAATGTGTGTCCTTGGGTCAGTCTGTCTCTCTTTGAGCCTCAATTTGCTTAGCTGGAGGGAACTTGTCTGTACCTCAAAGGTTTGTTTTGAGCAGGAAGTGAGATGGTGCACCCAGAAAAGCCCGTGGGCATTCTGATGACGGACGTAATGGAAAGTGGTCATCAGCGTAAGAGAAAGTGGCATCTTCTTCACTTAGGAAAGGTTCTCCCGAGTCAGCCTTCCCCAGTGCTGGGAGAAATGAATGAATGGAGGGTGAACGGTCTTTTGGAGAACTGACTAGAAGGACGGAGGAGAATCACGCTACAATACTGAGTCCTCCCAGCACACCAGGCTCTCCACGGGCACTTCATTTAGGAATGAGACCAAACTGATTTTGACTCCCTGCTCTGTCTTTTCCTAGCTGTGTAAACTTGGTAAAAATTACTTACCCTCACTTCCAGGGCCTCGTTTTCCCCATCTACAAAATAGGGATAATAAACAGTGGCTCCTCCGAGAGTTAGGTGCCATGGAACTGTTGAGGGTTAAATGAGTTTACATCAGATGCTTAGATCTGAGTCAGCCACCGAGGAAGCATTCTGTGGCTAACTGCTAAGTAAATATGAAAATAAAATGAAATGTCCTGGCTGTCCACCTTCCTCACTGGTCACTTGCTCTCAGTCTCCTCAATTGCTCCCCTCTTCTGCCCAGTATGTTGAGGCTGGGCTGCCCCGGGACCCAGTCCTTGGTGCTCTTTTTTGGCTTCCTCAGTGTATGTGTTCAATTCCTTGACAATCCCATACAGTTTGACGGCTTCACATACCAGCTATCTGCGGTGACTGACTTCTTCCCTGAACTCCAGACTCATAATATCTGCCTGTTCAACTTCTGCACTTGCGGATCTACTGGACACTCCTAACCAACATGCCTACAACTCAGCACCAATCTCCCCACTCCTGCCTGCTCCAAGCACAGGCTCCCCATTCTCACTCAGGGGCAATTCCATCCTTCTACCTGCTCAGGCCCAAACGCCTGGAGTCATCAGTGACTTGTCTTACCTGCACACCCACATCTAGCCCATCAGAGAATGCTGCAGCATACACCTCCAGAATGAACTGTTCACCGACTGACTGCCCTCACCACCTGGGCCTGCCTGATGGCTGTGTGGGCCTCCACGCTGGGCTTCCCACCTCTTCGATCCCCCTTAACAGTCTATTCTCAACACAGTGACCAGGCTGATCCCTTGACAAAGTCAGAAAATGTCACGGATCTGCAACAAAACCATCTAATGGCTTGGAGAAAACCCAAACTCATCACACTGGCCTGCCCGACGCTACGTGATCTAGAACTCCTAATCTCCCTCGCCTCACTCTCCCTTCCTGTTCCAGCCATACTGGCCAAGAACACATGGCCTTCAGGCCTTCATCCTCAGGCCATTTACCTAGAATGTTCTTTGGCTTAGCTAATTCCAGCAATTCCTACATGCCTTTGCTCAAATGCCAATTTTTTCACTGTTCCCTTCCCTAGACATTCAATTTAGAATTGTAACCCCCTGCTCCTCACACTACCTTCACCATTACTATGGCCTGATCCCCTACTTTTCCTTTCTTCTATAGCATCTTTCACTTTCTAACATGCTCTATAATTTACTCATGTATTATGCATCTTGTCCAGTGTCTGCCACCCCACCTCCCAGAATGTAAGCTCTGTGAGGACAGAGATCTTTTGAAGTTTTGCTCACTTATGAATTCTAAGCTCCTAAGGCACTGCCTGACACATAGAAGGAGTCCAATAAATATTTATGAAATGGATATCTGCAAAATATAATCTCCTAGGAGCTGGCATACTAACCCTAAAGAGGTCAATTAACTGGCAGAGTCAGGATCTGAACACTGGTCCACCATATTCTCTGCCTCCCAATATTAAACTTGTTTCCATCAATCCCTCTGTTTTGGGGGAGACACTGCTGAGCACTGATCTCATGTCAACTGGCTGTCAGAAGGTACGTTTACTAGGTCAGAGAGCAAACCAAACAGCAAGGGTTAACACGTGCAGTTCGTAAGTTTCCCGTAGTAAGTGTAGATCACTTAGCAGAGTTTCCTTAGAAACAAATTCCTCTGAAGGGCTCTACTCACCAGGACGAAGACAGTGAAGAAGATGACCACAATGGCAGCCGTGATGAAGAGCTTCTTCCGAGGAAACACGGCGGCAGGAAGGAGGAACACCAGCGCGAAGCAGATGGCACCACGCAGGCCTCCATAGGCGATGATGAACTGATCCTTGAAGGTCAGGGGGATGGTCCGGAACCAATTGATGACCTGCGTCAGGACAAAGACGCCTGCAAAGAAGGAGAAACCCAAGGAACACAGACTGTGTGAGGCCAGAGTACAGAAATATGTAGACTCGTGTTCTGTGCTTCTGTAACAGGGCAGAGTATTTAAGAACAGACTCCAGCAGAGAGGCCTGAGAGCTGCCAGGCCCACACACCCCGAAGTACCTGCATCAGAGCAGGTAGGCACCCCGAGGGACTCCCAGCCCGGGTCAGTCCCTGTGGCCCAGAGAGGCCTGAGCCTCCTGCCACAGGCACCAAGGCAGCCATTGACAGATTGGCAGTCCCTGCAGGATCCTAGCCAGACATTAGGGTCAAACAAGTGGACCACGAAAACTCATGCCACAATGACTAAATACCAAAGGAAAGATACCAGAAATATTAAAAAATCAAGAAAGTACACAACCACTGAAGGGCAATAATAACTCTTAAGCTCTAGATCCTACAGAACAGGAAGTCCTTGAAATGATGGACAAGGAATTTCAACCAACACTTCCAAGGAAACTAAATGAGATACAAAAAACTAAGTTAGAAAACACAATGAAATGAGAAAAAGTATACAGGACCCGAAAGAAAAAAATGTACAAAGAAATCAATGCCCTGAAAAACAATGTAGCAGAGCTTTCAGAGCTGAAGAATTCATGCAAGGAAATAAAAAACACAACAGAGAGTTTAACCAGCAGGCTAGAACAAGCAGAAGAGAGAACTTCTGACCTTGAAGATGGGTTGTTCGAAATAACATAAGCAGACAAAAAAATTAAAAACATTGAAGAAAATCTAAGATAGATAACAGACAACCTTAAGCACTCAAATATCCAAATAATGGATATTCAAGAAGGGGAAGAAAAAGGAAATGGCATTGAAAAAATATTCAGTGAAATAATGGCAGAAAACTTCTCAGGTATAGGGAAAGACACAGATCTTCCGATTCAGGAAGCTCAAAGATCCCCAAACATATTCAATCCAAAAAGGTCTTCTCCAAGACATGTTGTAGTCAAACTGGCAAAACCCAAAGACAAAGAGAGAATCTTAAAAGCTGCAAGAGAGAAGCATCAAGTCACCTATAAGGGAGCCCAATCAGACTAACATCAGACTTTTCATCACAAACCCTAAAAGCCAGAAAAGAATGGGATGATATATTCAAAATACTAAAAGAAAAAGATTGCCCGACAAGAATACCTTACCCAGCAAGGCTATCCTTCTGAAATGAAGGGCAAATAGTATATTTCTAAGACAAAAATGGCAGGAGCTCACTACCATAAGACCAGACTTACAAGAAATTCTCAAGGTAGTACTGGGTTTGGTACCTGAAAAACAACCACCACTGCCATAAATACTCAAGAAAAACCAAAACCCACTAGTAAAATAGAAATGCCAACAACGAAGAGAAAAAAAAAGTTTATCTACAACCCAAGGAACCAACAAATACAGAAGACAAACAGTAAATCAGAAAGAAAGGAACAAAAGACACTTAAGACATCCAAAGAAAAATCAATAAAATGCAAGGAATAACCCAACACCTTTCAATAACAACTCTTAATGTAAAAGGATTAAATTCCCCACTCAAAAGACACAGACTGCCTGACTGGATTAAAAAAGTGGACCCAACTATTTACTGCCTTCAAAAGACTCAACTGACCTGTGAAGACACACATAGACTAAGAGTGAAACAATGGAAAAAGATAAACCGTGAAAATAGAAATGAAAAACAAACTGGAGTAGCTATTCTTACATCTGATAAAATAGACTTTAATCCAAAAACCATAAAAAGAGATAAAGAAGGCCACTGTATAATGATAAAAGGATTTATCCATCAAGAAGACATAACAATCATAAATACATATGCACCCAACATCGGAGCAGCCAGATTTATAAAGCAAACACTAATAACCTAAAGAATGAGATAGACACTAATACCATAATAGCAGGGGACCTGAACACCCCACTGTCAATATTGGACAGATCACATAGGCAAAGAATCAGCAGAGAAGCACAAGATTTAAACAACTCTTTAGACCAATTGGACTTGGCAGGTATCTACAGAACACTCCATCCAACAACCTCAGAATATTCATTCTTCTCATCAGCATATGGAACATTCTCCAGGACAGATCACATATTAGGTCACAAATCAAGTCTCAACAAATTCAAAAACATTGGAATTATTCCATGTACTTTCTCAGATCACAAAAGATCACAATGGATTAAAATTAGAAATCAATAACAAACAAAACTCTAGAAACTATACAAACACATGGAAATTAAACAGCATTCTACTTAATGACATATGGGTCCAAGAAAAAATTAAACAGGAATTCAAAAAAATTATTGAAACCAGTGAAAACAATGATACATCATACCAAAACCTGTGGGATACTGCAAAAGCAGTACAAAGGGGGAAACATCGCATTAAATGCTTACTTCAGAAGAATGGAAGGATAGCAAGTACATAACCTAACACTTCACCTTAAAGAACTAGAAAAATAAGAACAACCCAAACCCAAAGTTAGCAGATGGAAAAAATAATTAAGATCAGAGTAGAACTTAATGAAATAGAAACCCAAAATATGATACAAAAGATCAATGAATCAAAATGCTGTTTTTTTGAAAAGATAAATAAAATTGACAAACCATTAGCAAAGCTAACTACAAAAATAAGAGAGAAGACCCAAATAACAAAAATTAGAAATGAAAAAGGTGATATTACAACTGATATCTCAGAAATACAAGAAATCATTAGAGACTACTATAAACAACTATATGCCAACAAATTAAAAAATATGGAGGAAATGGTTAAATTTCTGCACACACACAAACTACCAAAACTGATGCAAGAAGATGTAGAAAACCTGAACAGACCAATAACAATAAAAGAGATTGAAGCTGTTATCAGAAGGTTTTCAACAAAGAACATCCCGGTACTGGATGAGTTCACTGCAGAATTCTACCAAACATTCAAAGAGGAACTGATACCAATTCTCTACAAACTATTCCAAAAGATTGAAACAGAGGCTATCCTCCCAATCTCATTCTATGAAGCAAACATCACCCTGATACCAAAACCAGACAAAGATATAACAAAAAAGCCAGAGCTATCAGAGAAAAGAAGGAAATAAAGGGCATCTAGAATGGAAAAGATGAAGTCAAACTGTCCATGTTTGCAGATGACATGATCCTATATATCAAACAGCCTAAAGCCTCTACAAAAATACTTCTAGAGTTAATAAATGATTTCAGCAAACTTGCAGGATATAAAATCAACACACAAAAATGAGTAGTATTTCTATACTCCCAAAAGTGAACACAAAGACAAAGAAATCAAGAAAGCTAGCCCATTTACAATAGCCAACAAAACCATAAAATACTTAGGAATAAAGTTAACAAAGGATGCGACAAATCTCTACAATGAGAACTACAAACCACTGTTAAGAGAAATTAAAAAGGACACAAGAAGATGGAAAGACAACCCATGATCTTGGATTGGAAGAATTAACATTGTCAAAATGTCCATATTACCCAAAGTGATCTACATATTCAATGCAATCCCCATCAAATTTCCAATGACATTTTTCTCTGAAATGGAAAATAATATCCTAACATTTATGTGGAATAACAAAAGACCATGAATAGCCAAAGAAATTCTGAGCAAAAAAAATAAAGCTGTAGGCATAACACTACCTGACTTTATACTACAAAGCTACAATAACCAAAACAGTATGGTACTTGCATAAAAACAGACACATGGATCAATGGAATAGGATAGAGAATCCAGAAATCAACCCGTATACCTACAGCCATCTGATCTTTGACAAAGGCACCAAGTCTACACACTGAGAAAGAGACTGCCTCTTCAGCAAATGGTGCTGAGAAAACTGGATATCCATATGCAGGGAAATGAAACTACACACATACCTCTCACCAGATACCAAAATCAACTCAAAATGGATTAAAGAATTAAATATACACCCTGAAACAATAAAACTCCTTAAAGAAAACATTGGACAAATACTCCAGGAAGTAGGATTGGGTACAGACTTCATGAATGTGACCCAAAAAGCATACACAACAAAAGGAAAAATAAACAAATGGGATTATATCAAACTAAAAAGCTGCACAGCCAAAGAAACAATTAACAGAGTTAAAAAGACAACCAACAGAGGGGGAGAAAATATCTGCAAAATGTCCATCTGACAAAGGATTAATATCTAGAATATACAAGGAACTCAAACAACTTTACAGTAAAAAAAACAAGTACCCAAATTAAAAAATGGGCAAAAGAGCTAAATGGTCATTTCTCAAATGAAGACATTGTGAATGGCCAAAAGACACATCAAAAAATGCTCAACATCACTCAGCATTTGGGAAATGCAAATCCAAAACCACACTGAGATAACTTCTCACCCCAGTTAGGATGGCTAATATTCAAAAGACTGAGAATGAAAAATGCTGGCAAGGTTACGGAGGAAAAGGAACTCTCATACATTGTTGGTGGGACTGCAAAATGGTGCAGCCTCTATGGAAAATGGTATGGAAGTTCCTCAGACAATTGCAGATAGATCTACCATACGACCCAGCTATCCGACTGCTGGGAATATACCCAGAGGAATGGAAATCATCATGTTGAAGGGATACCTGCACTCCAATGTTTATTGCAGCTTTATTTACAACAGCCAAGAGTTGGAACCAGCCCAAATGTCCATCATCAGATGAGTGGATATGGAAACTGTGGTATATCTACACAATGGAATACTACTCTGCTATAAAAAAGTTTGAAATACTACCATTTGCAGGAATATGGATGGACTTAGAAAAAATTATATTAAGTGAAATAAGTCAGGCATAGAAAGAGAAATACCACATGTTCTAACTTATTTGTGGGAGCTAAAAAATAAACAAACAGACAAACAAATGGGGGGGTGGGGAAGAAGACAACAATCACAATTCCTTGAACTTGTTAAGACAAGTGAACAGATCTGATGTTGATGGGTGGGAGGGAGAGGGAGGAATTGGTAAAGGGACATGAAAATCAACTGCATTGTATATTGATAAAATAAAAGTAAAATTAAAAATTAAAAATTAAAAAAAAGCACAGACTGGTCATTCCCCTTTTTCTCTGTCGTATTAGTTCTGCCTGGCCCTGGGCCTTTGCTGCTGGTGTTCCAGGACAATGGGCAAAAATGTGGAATCAGGGAAACCAGGAGGGACGGATTTGACTTACAGCAAAGTCATGAAGACACTCAGAGAAGGAGAGAACATGTCAGGAATTGGGGAGAGGAGGAGCAGGAGCAGGAGCAGGAGCGGGAGAAGTTGATGGAGAAGAAGAAGAAATGAAAAAGCCGCAGCAAAAAGGGAGAGACAGGGAGACAGCCCTGCTCTGCAGGTGAGTGTGGCCAAGCGCTCCTGTGGCAGACAAGCACTCGTACCCAGCGCTCGCCAGATGAGGCAGAAGGCCAGGGTGAAGCAGACAAAGGCCCAGTTCCACTCGTGGTTCTTCCCAACAGTGGACACGCCCATGAAGATGAAGATCAGGGTCTCGCTGACACTGCTCAGCATCTTCATGAAGTACTTGATGGTCGTGTAGGATTTCTGGGACACGTTTTCTTCCACGTACTTGTTCATCGTCATTGCACAAGCAGTGATTCTGAAAGAGAGAATATAGCTTCTGTTTCATTACAGCAATGGTCCAAATCAGAAGACAAGAGTCAGCACTAAGAGCCAGATTATGGCTCTACCCTTTTGCCCATGAGTACAGTATTATCAATCAATTCTTATGGGTGAATGTGATTTGCACATAAGCCTTGGAAATCCTGTCCCTGGAGGTCTTCATGAATACCCCTGGCTTGAACATCGCTGCTCTCCCAGCCTTTTAGAACTCTCTGTCCCCAGACACGTACTCTAGAAGGTCTGCGGACATCAGTGCCATCAACTCTCCTTCCACTGTCACAAATAAAATAAGCCCAGAATAAACTTGAAACTCATTATCTTCCTATAAAACTGATTCATTCTCCCACATATACTCTATTCCTCTATTATCTAAAAGTCCTAAACTATTGCATAAAGTCCTGAACTTGAAACTGTGGTCACACTGATTTCCTCTCCCCGTCACACCTCCTTGGTGCCCCCACCCCACATAATTGGTCTCCAGTTGTTTTCGATTCTTCATCCTGAATCTCTCTTGGACCCACCCGCTCCTTTATAACCTGATGCCTTAGTTCTGGTTCTCATTTCTATTTATCTATTGTATCCACTCCTGGGAAATTCAGAATGCATCAATAGGCTCTGAGAATTCCTAAAGGAAATAAAATCCTTTGCTTGTCTTCCCCAGCATTTCCAAACCTTTGGGCCCACAGAGACCTTTATTCCCACTCTCATGATATCTTCAAGTCCACACTCCACGGTGGACCCCTGAAGCTCTTGCCGCTCTTCCCTCAGTCGCTGAACAACTCCAGTGTCACACCCCACCCTCTCTCCACCCCAGCCCACGCCAGGTGCCTTGACTGTCCATAATTTGCCAAACGTGCCCATGCTCTTTGCTGTGCTCTTGCCTTCCTGCACGCATGGGCTCCTCTCCATCTGGAACACTTCTTCCCCTCCCACCAACTCAAATGTCACCCGCAGAGGGAAATTTAATATGAGCTGGGTGACAGCTCGCACTGGGTCCCCTCTAAAGAGACACAGTTACTGTAAAGTACCAGAAGGACTCCTTTATCAGAAGGCACTGTAGGATGAGATGGGAAGATGCAATTAAAGCAGGCCACGCTGCCGTCCACTAGTGATAAGCGTGCCATAAACTAACTGCTGGGCGTGATCTGCAAAGTTTTCCACATCCTTTTAACTCTAGAGCCACAATGGCCTACATGCTTGCCTCCTTCCCTACCCCAAAACCTGGTCGTCCTTATGCTGAGACTTCCACTGTCTTAAGGAAATCCCCCTACTGGGAGCACAAGGGTAGGTAGAAGAACGCAAACCTAGGGGTCCTCTCAGGTAAGACCTAAACAGGTAACCACAAGCACATTTCACGGCAAGAAGCAGACCAGTTCCTCACATAGAAAACAAGCGTATTTGTTTTGGTTCTCCATATAAATAAAACAAAGACTCCACCAACTTAAAGACCGTGTGTTTAGCCACAATGTCACTGCCCCCAGAATGAACGGGTATTTCTTTTAGATTTACATGAGTGGAGAATGCACAATTTATGTGGTTTACCAAAAGAAAGAATGATCTTATTAAATGCACTAATAAAATTTAACAGCCACAATCACGGAGCAAAGCCTTTGCGTAGCTGAGGGCTTATGCAACGAGAGTTAATGTGTTAATAGCACCTTCCCTCTGTGCCAGCTGCCATGCAGACGCTGCGAACGGACTATGTCAGTTAAACCTCATCACAAGTTTATGAGGCAAGTTCTCTTATTCCCAGTTTCATAAATGAGAGAACAAAGGTGGACAGAGGCACAGTTACTAACGATTACGCTGCTCGTAAACGACGGTGTCCGGACGTCAACCCTGGCAGTCTGACTCGAAGCCAGCACTGTGAGGGCTCAACCCCCACTCCTCCCCATCCTTGGCGAGCCCAGGGACCTCTGAGGGGGAAGATGCCCTCCACTCCCTGCAAAGGCCTGTTCATCCTTTCTCAAGCACTAGGCTGATCATATTTGTTTCCTACAGTTGATGTAAGAAACAACAACAAAGCTGGTCGCTTGAAACCACCACAAACTTTAGCGGCTTCAAACACCACAGATTTATCATCTTATACTTCTGGAGTTCAGAAGTCTAAAATCACTGGGCCGGCCCGGTGGCGCACTGCTACAGTGCACCGCTTGGGAGCGCAGCGGTGCTCCCGCCGAGGGTTCGGATCCCACATACAGACCCGTTCCCGCTCACTGGCTGAGTGAGGGGCGGGCGCAACACCGAGGGTTGCAATCCCATTGCAGGTCCCGGTCCGGTACGGGCGCGACACTGAGGGTTGCGATCCGTTGCCGGTCACGAAAAAAGACAAAAAGGAAAAAAAAAAAGAAGTCTAAAATCACTTTCAGTGGGCTAAAGGCAAGGTGTCAGCAGGGCTGCATTCCTTCCAGAGGCTCTAGGGGAGAATCTTGCCTTTTCTAGTTTCTAGACGCTGCTCACATTCCTTGACTCACGGCCACATCACTCTGACCTCTACTTCCCAAGTCACATCTCCTTCTCTGGCTCTGACCCCCCTACCTCCTGCTCAGAAGGATCCTTGTGCTTAAATCAAGCCCACCTGGATAATTGAATATAACCTCCCTATCTTGAGATCCTAAGCCCTGATCACATTTACAAAGTCCCTTTTGCTATATAAGGTAACATATTAGCAGGTTCTGGAGATTTGGATGTGGACATTTGGGTGCCATTACTCAGCTAACCACACTGCTTCTTGCATTCACCTGCCTCATGTGGTGTCCTGAACCAAGTGCATGTTCAAGATGAGTGTGGCCTGCACTGCTCACATGCACTTGGTGACAGAAGCTAGTGGGAGGTCTGTCACAGTGACTTGACATGAAATATTGGAACCTCCTACAGCAAGCAAATGATTGGGAAGAGCAGACCGGGAAAGGGCATCTCTCCTACAAGCCCACAGCAGGCATCTGGCCAGCACCCGCCTAAACATAAATCATCAATTAATCCCATTTCTGAAAATCTTCATATTTTCATTTTGGGGTTTATTTTGTCTTTAACCAGACTTTAAAAAGTAAGATGTGCCCAATACAAAAATAATGTGGGCAACAGCCAGATTGGACTGATTAAGAATCTGAATCATAATATGTTTTATAAAGAAAAGACACATACGCAGCAACACAAAGGAATGAGCCTTTCTCAAATGTTGCCAAATAGAACATTTGTAACAAAAATTTATAATGGTTGTATTACCTCTTGCAATTTTATAATCCTATGCAGAAGATGTCTCAGAAGGGATTTACTATAGAACATTTTAAGTTACAAACATGGAGACTAGCAAATGCTGACGTTCCCACTGCCTGGCTTCTTCCCATCACCTTCACTTTGTAAAATAAAACATCAGCTGTAAAGTTGAAACTCCTGGGTTCCTCGTACTAACCCCATTCCCTTCCCTCCCTCCCTCTTGGATTTGGATTTTTGGGGGATTTCATTGTTTATCATTTAAAAAATGATTTTGATTTTTAAAAGGCTGAGGAGTCACGTTTGTGTAAATGTTCTAAACACATCTCTGAAACAATGTTCACATCGATCATTGGCAAAAAGTAAACCATACAGACAAAAAGCAATCTGCAATTCATTATGTGAGCAATGTAACAAAAAGTTCCTATTCAGAAATGATTGGAAACACAGCTTTTGTGTAGGAATTTAAAAATGAATTAATTTTACATGACCATCCATGGGATCATTTTCAGTTGCTTTGTATCCTGAACAAGACACGAAGAATGACGCTCCTGTTTGCCAGACACCTTGCTGTACCTTAATGAAGTTTCCTACCAGCATCAGCAAGACGCTCAACAGGGAAGAACACCCTGCGTGGGCACCAGACGCCCCGGTGTCCAGGACTGTCTCATTCATGAAGTGTGTGCACATCTACGGCACTGAGGCACCCTAGGGGTTGGGGGCAAACATTTCACACATTCCTGCCCTGGTCTGTCATACACAACTTGATGCCAACTTGATGCACATGGTCTCTCAAGCAAAGGCCCGGAGGTGTTTTCCTTGCAAAGAGATTTTTTGTTGCAGTATACTCTGACCTGAAGTCAGATATCCTCGCCTTCAATAACATCATTAAGTACATAAAACAACACATGAGCAAGTCTCCCTCCTCTTAGGGAGATGCAGGTAAAACAGTCTCAGGAACAGAGAAGAATGAAACCTTTTCTGCCCCTCTGGTAGGTCATCTTTAGAGGGGACGGTCTTCACCCTCACAGTAAACTTGAGACTCCTTCGTTTCTCTAAAAGAATCCCAAGAAACTTACAGAGCTGGCAAACGGAGAAGGCTAGTGTCTGACTGTCCTTGGTGTACTATATGTGGCCAGAAGTGTCCTCAGGCACAGTGTCATGTCACAGCATATTGCAGCAGCACAAACACTATGGAGAGGTGAGATTTCATCCTCTATCATCACGTGAACACGTGAAGATTTCGTGGCTGAAGTCCACAGCCTCACATCCTCATTCTGGAACATCAAAACGATAATGTCCACACCAAAATAATAGCCTAAATAGACTCGAGTCTTTCAGGACTTCCAGTTGAATCTCTTAATTCTAAAGCTTCAAAATGAAACTATCAGTCTTTAATTTTCCCAATAGGACCTTACAGTTATTAGCTCATGTCATTAAATCATCTTTTCCCCCTTTCCATGCATCTTGCTTTCCTAATCTCCACATCGAGTTAATATGATTGTAAGCAGCAATTTAACATCAACCAACATGTTCTGAGCATCTGTTCTGGGTCAAATTCTGTGCTGGGGTCTAAAGATGAAAGTACACAGAACACGATTTCTACCTTCAAAAGACTGCAGTCTAAAGAAAAAACAGTCACAGAGACAGCACGGAAATACAGCACTGCAAGTGCTGGCCACGGGAGGGGAGGGTGCTTTGGGAATACAGGAAAAGAGTGGCAACCACCGCCACAAAAGAGGGGTCATTTTAGCAAACTCATCA